TTTTTTGCACTGACTTTAATACCTGATTTTAGCCATAAGTTTTAAACTCACTGGGATCGATATATCCCATGGATACAATGCTTTGGTTAAAGTATTATCTTTAGAAGCCTGATGTTATTTATAAAAGTAAGGTTATATTTTGCCTCTATTTATAATTTTTCCATAACAAACATGATTAAAATAGAAATAAACATTATGAACCTTATTGGTACCACACCCATGTTGATGATCTCGATAATATTGTTAATGATATTATGAGTTACCTGTAATATTCTAATAATAAATGTATTAGACTAATTAAATATATATATTATAAATAATATACAATTTTTAATTAGGAAACTTGCTGTGAGGATATTGACATGACAAATATAATAACAATATACATTTAATAAGTCATGTAAACATGTTATTAAACTTATGTATTTCTAATATTGATATAACAAATTGTATTTTGCAAACATTTCTTAGACAAATCAATAATGTATGTTATAATTAATTTAAAAATTATCATAATGTCATTAACTTAAAAATTAAACAATCGTTTATAGTCTGTATTGTTATATACATTAAACATTTCAAAGTTGTATGAACTTGTTAGAATATATTGCTTAATGGTTTTAAAGTTTAATAATTTATTTATTTATTAAAAAATATACAATGTTCCGTGTCATTGTATAAATGTAAAACTATAATTAATCTAAATGAAATATTTATTCAACATAATACTAAAGTATAGTAATATTATAGTAAATTATTTATATAATTATTTGACTTGCAAATATAAATAATAAACTACATTTACTACGATATTAATGCAATTTATTAAAGATCAATATTTTTAATATACACATGAAACATTAATATTTAAATGTACTGTACATAATAAAATAGCATTAGTTATCAATGTAGTTTTTGCAGGCCTTGGAAAAGCTAATTGTACATTTGCCACCCGATGGTAAACCGCTGCAAGTATTGCCTTTAATAGTATTTTCGCAGCCGCCTATACCAGCCTTTGCCTGGTGGTGAATCTAATCAGGGTAATAAGACACAGGTAAATTTAAGTTAATGTTTGCCATATATAATTTTATAATAACAACTGTATATATAAATCCAAACTATTATACAAACCTCAAAACCGTTTTTCAATGGATGAGTGCCGGTATTGCCTTCGATAACATACTTATCGCCCTTAACATCGATGTGAGACTCGGCATAGTTTTGTCCCGATTCACCATGGCCATCGAAGTGGTTGCCCCGCACTTCACCACAACACGAGCCTTCTTTGATGTCTATGCACTCGGCTGTGACTTCGGGTCCGATCCGGTTGTTTAGCACTTTGTTTCGGTCACTCTTGTCTGGTTTGCCACCCTGCCAATTGCTCACCTGTATTTAGTCATTATGGTAAAAATACAATTAGTTTTAATATCAAACATAATAATTACCATAATTAATAAATTAAATTAACTATGTATTCCATATTTTTAAATAGTTATTAAATGCAAATAAAATACAACACACCTTACATTCAACATACAGAAGTAAACTAATTACTGTATTTATATAAATTTTAGCAAGTTTCAAATCATTTTCATACCGCTTGTCCGAGGTAGACACCCTCGCCATAACCCTGATCCTTTGTGGTGCCCCTCCCGGTGTGATGAATGTACGAGTTCTGGATTGTATTATCGGAGCTGCCATACCGGAAGTGGACGCCCTCCTGCTTAACGTTATGCACCTCAACGTTGTCTATGAGGTTATGTGAGGCGCCCTCCAGTACTATACCCTTTGGAGAGTCGGCAACAGTGAAGCCCTTTAGCACCCAATGACTACCTCGAAGCCAAAAGCCGTATTTAGTGCCAG